TTTGAATCATTGCTTCCGAAGCCTTTGTACAGCTGACGGCTTCGGAAGCGGTCGCACTTCAAGCACACAGTCCCGCAGAGGTAAAAAGGGCTCGTCCGTTTTGCCTGAGTGTTTCTGTCGTGGCACAGTTCATGTTGCGGCATCGTTAATCGTTGATCACGCCTGTCGAAACATGCTCAAGTTGTACGGCAGCTGCTGCACCGACTGCGGCAACGCAGTTCGGATGGCGCCATGCCTTCTTCCAAATGCGTGATTAAGTGGGGAAGACTGTTCAAGTGGGCAAAACTGACTGAGTCGAATGTGCAGTGCCGGTACTGCAAGTGCTTCAGCCGCTCAGTGGAAGGATTGCGAACAACGCACTTGAAACAACATGAGCGTGGAGTACTGCATCGGTTCCGACGAGCGACAGCGCTTGGCTGCAGCCCAAATCTGCCAGGCACCCCGTCAATGGACACCTTTCTGGGTGTTGTGGAGCGCCGCTTGAAAGGAGAATCGCTTCGAAAATCTCCTCTTGGCCGCTACAAGGAAAAGAAGATTTCATGGTGCTTGAATGACGCTATGTTGGACATGGAGCGGAAGAAACTTGGGAAGTGCCAGGTAGCTCTGATTTCGCAAGATGCGCAAGGGCCGATGCTTTCTGTCAAATTTGCCTGTGTGTCAAACCGCTCTTGGGGCTCTTCCACGGCCAAATTTGCGGCGCCCAAAGGCTTGCCAGGACAACGCTGCAAGTTGCAAAAACTATGTTTCAGGCTAGAAGAAAACCTCCGTCTGGGTGGTGCGGGAAGGCGCCGACATTTTACAAAAAGGCTTGGCAGCATTTTCGCAGAAGGGTGGAACCTAGGCGGCAAAGCTTTCCTTGCTCCATGTTTCAAAACAAAATGCGCTGACGCTGCTGAGGAAATGTTTGCTTCGGATGCGGCTGATGAACTGAGAGCCGGCCGTTTACTCTCACTTCGGGACCACTTTCCTGCCGACCAAGACCCACCCTCATGAAGATCTAAGCCAGCCAAAACCCCCCTAACTTAAACCAGACCCCAGCAACTCCCAACTGCCACCCCATCAATAGGCAACCCCAGGTCCAAGTGATGTTGGTGATGCCGGGGATGCGGCCAGCCAGCCAGCCAGCCAACCAACCAACCCACCACCGAGCAGACATACAGTGTTGTTGTTGTTGTTGTTGTTGTTGTTGTTGTTGTTGTTGTTGTTGTTGTTGTTGTTGTTGTTGTTGTTGTTGTTGTTGTTGTTGTTGTTGTTGTTGTTGTTGTTGTTGTTGTTGTTGTTGTTGTTGTTGTTGTTGTTGTTGTTGTTGTTGTTGTTGTTGTTGTTGTTGTTGTTGTTGTTGTTGTTGTTGTTGTTGTTGTTGTTGTTGTTGTTGTTGTTGTTGTTGTTGTTGTTGTTGTTGTTGTTGTTGTTGTTGTTGTTGTTGTTGTTGTTGTTGTTGTTGTTGTTGTTGTTGTTGTTGTTGTTGTTGTTGTTGTTGTTGTTGTTGTTGTTGTTGTTGTTGTTGTTTGTTGTTGTTGTTGTTGTTGTTGTTGTTGTTGTTGTTGTTGTTGTTGTTGTTGTTGTTGTTGTTGTTGTTGTTGTTGTTGTTGTTGTTGTTGTTGTTGTTGTTGTTGTTGTTGTTGTTTTGGTTGTTGTTTTGGTTGTTGTTTTGGTTGTTGTTTTGGTTGTTGTTTTGTTGTTGTTTTGTTGTTGTTGTTGTTGTTGTTGTTGTTGTTGTTGTTGTTGTTGTTGTTGCTGCTTTTTTTTGTTTTTTGTTGTTTGTTGTTTGTTGTTTGTTGCATTTGGCTGAATCAAGCACGGTACACAAGGAGGTAACAACTGCTCGTGCGAGCACCTTCGCATTCAGGTGGTTGCATTTGTTTGCGTGCATTTGTGTGTGTGCGGAGTGGCGTAATGAGCACATGTCTTCGGGTGGCCTTGGCTGGCCCTTTGTATTTAACCCAAGGCCCAAACCCGGTCTTGATCGCAGCTTGGCTTACGATAAGACCACCAGAGAGTCGCATTAGCCATGAAGCTCGAGAGCCAGGTTTTGCGACATTGTTCCACAACGCCTTCAGCCCAGAGATAATCATTGACCACCAGGGCGCCCAAAGAGTGGAGTTTCTGGTGCAAGTCAGTAGAGTCTGCCTCCTCTTTCACGAGCAATCGCCTAAGAAAACTTGCAAGAACAAAGGCGCAAAAGCAAATTCAAACGCCAAGGCGCATATTGGCCAGAGCTGGAAGTTCAGGCTGACTCCGCCTGCGTTTCCGCAGCGAGCTTTCGAGCTGAGCTTGGTGGTCAGCTTTCCTCCTACGCTCCAAGCATTGGCTGTGCTCTGCTGGACGAAGCTGCTCTTGCCGCAGCAGCAGGTCGTCTTGCTGAGCTTGAAAGCACCGTCTTTTCTTCAGCTCCGACAACTTTTTGGTCGCTTCCTCGTGCTTGGTGGAAATTGCATTTCCAGCTGCCTTGCGGGAACTTTTGCTCAGCCGCAGCATGTCCCGAGGGGCATCGTTCAGCTTTAAGCATCGCTTCACACTCTTCCGGCGTCGAGCTATCCACGCGGCTTCCGAAACAGGATTTCTTGTTCGTGCCTTGGCCGGCAAGGTGTGCCAAGCGAACTCCGGCAAGTTTTTAAAAGCTTTTTGCCGCCAAGCGTCCTGCCGGCTTGCTTCTAGTCGAAGACCGGAAACAAACTTAGGTTTGCGAGCGGACCCAGATGATCTTTCAGAGCCGAAGCCTTCCTGCCAAATCTTTTGGGCAGGCATAGCAACTGCACCACGAAGACTGTTCTTGTCCCACTGGCGACGCCGCCTCTCGAACGCCTTGAAGTAAGGGCCTAAGAAAGCCCTGTCGCGTGCAGTGTGGTACTTGATATCTGCAAAGTCACGCTCGCTCTGCGCAGTTCCAGCCGCCGATGCCAGCAAGACACGGGCAAGTGTTTTAGACATGTCCGGGCAGCGGCCGCTGAAACTTGACTCTGCCAAGGTCCAGGCTTGCAAATCACCCAACTCTTCCGACTTGGACAGTTGTTTTCCTGGGCAGAGCATTGGAAAGCGACAAGCAAAGCAGGACAAGCAATATGCACCGTTAAACAAACTCAGAACCGGTCGGTGGCGTTGGGCAGTAGGCTTTAAGTCTTGGAACTGTTCATAGAGCTGCTTAGAGTTCGCGTCGAACATCTGGGAGAGCCGCAGAAGACAGCGCTGCGTTTCCGCAGCGCTCTTTTGGGGGCCGCTGAGCGAAAAGGCTGACAAGTTGTGGATCAGTTCAAAATCAGGAAACTCTGTCTTGATGGTCTGCGAGACAAGGGCGAGCCATGCAGCCATCCTTGCAAAGCACCTGTTGAAAACGATCGGCGAAACGCTGCCTCCCACACTCCTGTGCCCAGCGCCCAGTTGAATCAAACGAGGTCTTTCCAGCCACTTCAGCACCTGGCAGTCAGATCAAGTCTTTGAAGCTCTGAAAACTTATCACGGGCTTCGCGACTCAGTGCTGTCTAGAAGCGTGCTGTGTGTAACCACTGGAGGTGGCTGTTTTCTGCACGAAGAGCACATGCAGCCTTTGAGCAAAGGTTGTCAAGCAGGTTTGCGCTGCACTCATGTCCATCTGGCTCTTGTCAAATCTGCGTAAAATTCTGATCTCCTCATCAGCAGCGTCAGCCATCATAGCCATTTGCAGGTACACCTCTGTGGATATAGACTCCAGGAACTTCTTGGCGACCCTTCGGGGTTTCGCGTTGGTCTTTACTCGCAATATCCTTAGATTTGCAACACAGTTTTTCTTTGAAATGGCGACATACTCAAGCAAGCCTGATGCCTACTAAGTCTCTCGTGAGCTGTGGCCAAGAACGCATCCGCAAGAAGGATAAATCGCCCCATCGGCTTCTGCAGAGAAGAATGACGATGCTTGGCCGACTGCAAGTCTCTCATGCCACTGTGACGCAGAAATTCGGCGTCCATGTGCCGAACCTTAGCGCGACGAGACACTATGGCCACACTTGCGGCATGTGTGTTAAAACATGTCCACTTTTGAGCCTAGCAACATGCTTCGCAAACATCACCTTCAAATCTGGCGAATGCCAAATCAGCGCAGTCATAGACTCCTTTCCAGATATGAATTGCTGCATGTATTCCTGAAGCGTCTCGTCAAGATGCCATTTCTTTGCAAACCTTAGCCAGCAAGGCAGCTGTCTGTTAGTTGTCCGTTCCGCGCAGGGTTGTTTACTGGGAATGCAACACGTGAGGACTGCGCTGAGTTGCCGTTGGACAGCATGCGCGCTGTCGCGCAGTCGAATCTTCATAGCTGGAAAAGTCTTCTCCAGCTGCTGTTGGGCGGGTTTAGGGTTGACTTCGAGCGGGTTTGGCGTGGCTTGGAGCTGATTTGTGTTAGGTGTGCTGCTGGTCTAGCAGCGGCTTTAGAGTTGCTTTAGGGTGTGGTTAATAGAGTTCTGGTCTTGTTTTTGTGGTTTGGGGCAACGCTCCCCAACCCAAAACTAGACCAAAACTCTATTAACCACACCCTAAAGCAACTCTAAAGCCGCTGCTAAACCAGCAGCACACCTAACACAAATCAGCCCGCCCAACAGCAGCCTGGATGTCAGCCCTTCGCTTCGCCTAAATCAACCCCAAACCACCCCAAGACCCACCCTCATGAAGATCTAAGCCAGCCAAAACCCCCCTAACTTAAACCAGACCCCAGCAACTCTCAACTGCCACCCCATCAGAGCCAACAGGCAACCCCAGGTCCAAGTGGTGTTGGTGATGCCGGGGATGCGGCCAACCAGCCAGCCAGCCAGCCAGCCAGCCAGCCAGCCAGCCAGCCAGCCAGCCAGCCAGCCAGCTCAGCCAACCAACCAACCAACCAACCAACCAACCAACCAACCAACCAACCAGACGGGGGATCAGGGCTAGGAAAACAAAAAGCACCATCTCCACGTCTGCTCAGGCGGACAAAATTGTGGCCGAGTGCGCACTCTTGTTCATGTCTCCAGTCCGTTGCCCAGAAAGGTGCACGACTCCTCAAGCCGCTCGTCATCAAGGTTCACAAAGAAGGCAATGCAGCGCAGCTCTTTCTTCCTGGGCAACCTATCTGACACATGTGGTTCTGTGTTTAAGGTTGGACCCCCAAAATGGCTTCGGTGCTCCCCTTGCTTTCCCACTGGAACCACAAACAGAAGGTGCCCTCAAAACAGACACACCCATGTCCCAACCTCGGTGTGAGAAACTGTGGAGAGAATCATCATGATGATGATGATCATCATCATCAGTATCATCATTCTGCCAGGGCCTGCCTTTGAGTATAACACTGATGTTGCGCGACTCGCGCCATGCCTTTCTTTGACTGCTCTGCGCAATGGTTCGCAATATGACAGGCAACCAGCAGCTTTCAACACGCCTCCCTGCGCATACTGAAGCTTTCAGCTTTCATTCTGCCTGCTTGTTTAATCCGTTTCTTCGAGCTTTGCGTTGAACGCTGAACATGCTGTCCCGTCGAACGGCTTCCCCCATTTCGGGCTTGCCACAGCCAAGGCGCAGGTAGTGATGCCAGAACGGCCGTAGCGCAGCCGCGCCACCCACTTCACAGAACTCCAGGTCCACCACCCCCTCGGCCAACGGCACCTGGACAACTGGGCCACTTACAAACGAAGGTTTAGCCATGAACTCAAGCGTCGCAAACGTCCAAGTCTTATGCAAATGCTTTGTGGCCGATGGCGCCTCCTTCCGCGTCAGACGCTGGGTGCCGCTAGTGGCCGTCAGACGTTGTGCCTCTCCAACATGCCACGCTGCAACGCGCATGCGCACGTGCGCCAAAACAACCACGACGATACACCAATACAATCGGCACATGGTTAACATAGGCGGAGATCAGGTTCAGGACTTAAGCAAAAAGCTTTTATGTTTTTCCGGGGTGCCAAGATGCTGATTTGGTTCAGGCTGGGTTTGGGGTGGACTTCAGGTTGGCTTGGGGTGCGGTGGTTTTGGCTTTTGGCATGTTGGGCTGGCTTTGCGTGGGTTTAGCGCGGCTTCGAGTTTGTTGTTTGGGGTTTAGGGAGGGTTCAGGGAGGGTTTAGGGATGGTTTATGGTTGGTTTAGGCTGGGGTCAGGGTTTGGCTTCGACATTGCACCGGGTTGGCTCAGGGTCGATTCTATTTGGGGCTGGGTTTAGTGTTGCGTTTTTACGTCGGCTAAGGGTGGCTGGGGGTGTGGACACCAAAGCTGCCAAACACCACGCAAACCCAAAACAATTGTTGGAAACGAGAAGACAATAACAGTCACACAGACCAAAAACAGGTTTATATCATGAGGGTGTGAACTGTGTTTCATTGATTCCTGGCATCTGCCGTGTCTCCTAGCTTCTCAAAAGATCCGTTTCAAAGGTTTTGTAAACCATTAAGACCATCCGTGTCCACCCTCGACTGGCATGTTGTCCCATGGCAGCATGGCAGCACATACCAAATGAGACTGTAGGAACACTGGGTAGGTCGCTTTCTCAGATGCTCCAAGTTGGTTTCCTTTCAAACTCTGAGACATGCTGACATAGTGTCCACAGGGTTGACACCAAATCCCCGCCGGCAAGGTGTCGGCGGTGGGATGCTCCGCCAGCCACAGAAAGGCTGACTTGCCAGAGTTGTCGAGGCCAAGTAGCAGGACCTCAGTGTTGTGGGAGCGGCCCCAAAAGAACCAACCCCCAGAACAGAAGTTGCCCCTATTAGGGGGACTTAAGCGCAAAGCAGGCAGCAACCTTTCTTGCGTGCTAAGATCTGTGCACAGCTGCGGTTTGTCAACAGCGTGCCATGCCGCTTGCAACTCACACAGAGGGAAAAGTGTTGCTGTTGACTAGGCGGCACTCATCCGGAGCTTGCGCCTTTCGCGCTGGCCCTTCAGAGCGAAGCGCGGCGCTCCTCCAGGACTTTGTCCTGTTTGGTCTGCTTCATGCAGAGCTCCCAAAACTGCCTGTGCACCGTGAACTGCTCCGCGTACTGCTTGAACGTGGGGAACCAGCGGATACCCAGGACGCCCGTCTCACCATCTGCTTGGTGAGGTGGAGATCCAATGCAGTCTGCCTCTCGGCCGTGAGGCGGCCCACCTTCTTCACGTGATCGAACAAACTCTTCGCGTCCGTCACCACCAGGCCTCTCGTGGTCAGACGCTGCCGCCAGTCTCCGTGCACCTCCAACTGCCCCTTGGTGAGCGCCTCCCAGCGCAGCCGGTTGTAGAGCTGGTGATCCGCCGCCATCGTCATCGATGCTGCTTCCGCAGCCATACTGCTGCGGACCACACGCGAAATGCGGCCGCTGTTGAACTCCAAAATCCCCGCAGGGGCTGGCTGTGTCTCCGCCTTCACTGAAGTAATGAAGTGAACCGCTCCCTGTTGGCTCTGGCCTTTTCCTCCTTGCCCAAGGAAGCATCGAAGTAGGTCACGAACATCACCTCACCTCCAATGTACGGGTACTTGAGAATGGCACCCCCGGACTCCGCAAGGGCCTTTTGTTCGTTTTCTTGACGTCGGCGTAGCTCGGCCCCTTAAACTTCTGAGCCAGGGCACTGATGCGGTGCAAAAAGTCTGGCATCACATGGGCCGCAGGCCACCGCATCTGCATGACCAAGCGCCGGTACTCCTTGAAGTTGGCGTTCTCCAGCATCTTCTCATCCGGGCCGCCAGCTTGCTGAACTCAATCTTCCGGATGTAGTCCACCATGTTGTCTTGAATCCCGTACCCATAGTGACGTCCATGCCCAGGTACCGCACAGGCTTCTCACCCAATTTGGACCACTCCTTGATATTGAAGTGCTTGTTGATGCTTCTCAAAGTGAAACTCTCCCTCTTCGCCCACCAGAAAGCCGTCATCGACATGCAGGTCGCAGATGGCTCGTACTGTCTTCTTGGGGTTGACCAGGACAAACGTGGACCTTGCGAAGGGAACCTCCTGCATGCCGCCCTCCTCCAGCAGCTCAACGGCACGAAGATACCAAAGGCGAGGCGCCTCAGGCAATCCATAGGCACTCTTCACGATGCGCATCAGCTCGTGAGGGCGAACAGCCTTCATGCCGTCCACTGCGCGCAAACCTTCCAAGAGCTTTGACCAAAATCTGCCGGGTGGCATTCTTTCCACTCAGGAATGCTGTCGACACATCGAAGAACCACCCTGACCACTTTTTCATGGCACAGATGATTTTCGTCATCCGCGCCGCAACACTGGCCACCGTTGGACTGTCCGTCCGGTAGTCACCAAGCTGGGGATCCAGATGTCCGGGAACCACAAGCCGCGACTTGGCAATGAGCTTCATGGCCTCCTTGCTCTTGTTCGCGCGCACCATCCTCAAGGGTGCACGAAACACCAAGGACCGGTCCACCTGCCGAGCCACGTCCGGACTGATCCTCTCGATCACCTTGTTCTTGATCCAGCTTCCCCACTTGTTCTTATCGCTCTCCGCAAACGCTGCCGCCTCGTCCTTGTCAAAGAGCCTTGGGTCAAGCTCTTTCCCTGAGCTCTTGAGCTTCAAGATGAGCGCCTCGCTCAGGGTCTCCAGCTTTCTCTCACGCTCGACCATTTCTCTCCAAGCCTGGGGCTGAGTGACTCTCACCTGGAAGAATTCCTCCTCCAGTTGAACATAGGCCATGTTCTCCTCTGCTCTCACTTCCTCCGGCTTGGTGAACAGAGTCATGCCCCTCCACAAGAATGGGGCTTTCCTCCTAGGCTGCTGTTGCACCTCCTCAAGTGTTTCCTGACTCACCATTGCGGCTCCGGCTTGTTTGCTGAGCACCACGACCACTCTACCTCTCTTCTTTCCTCCGGGCGGCCTCTGCATTCGTTTCCTGGGCTGCTTGTGCAGTCGCGCTGCGGTGATGGGCATGCCTAACAGCCTCCTCAACTTCTTGACCTCGGAACGAGTGTCCTGGAAGTCCTCCACTGCTGTGGCGACCATCACCGTTTGGAAGAATTCTCCTCTGAACTTCTTCCTGATCTGCTCCTCGCTCAGTCGCTCTTCTGGCGGTCGCTTCTGCCTGATGGGGTCGGGCACATCATCCAACGACCTGCGTCTTCTCACTCGTGGGCTATCGCTGTGATCAGAGAAGACCTCATCGTCGATCTTGTCGTACCACATTTCAATCTGCTGGATTGTGGGCCAAAAGTCTTGTGAGGCGCTCGACCTAGGTGAAGTCGGCTCATAGTCACTTCCACCCTCCGGCACCGGAACATCTATGCCTCCTAGAGGCTCCGGCACGATGGGCTTCTCCTCCTGCTTCAGCTGCTTCTGCTTCTGCCTCCTCTTTGCCATCACCCGCTTTCGGAACAGCGGATGGCAAGCCTTTCATCATCTCTTTGGCCTCATTGTAGGGCCTTCCTTTCTTGCTCTTGGGACCATCACCACGTCCTGTGCTTGCCAAGGACGGCCGCCAATGTCATCAAAAGGGGGCCTCCACGATGTAGCGTCCTGAAACGACTTCATCTTTTCCATCTCTTGAATGGCCTCCTGGGCGTCCAACTCCAATCTCACCATGTCTCCAGCTTCTTCTGCCGTTGCGGGCCTCATGTTGGCTGCTGACAGCAGACATCCTCTCCAGCTCACGAAGTACCGCTCCTCACCTTTTCGAACCATCACGTTCCTCTGGCCAGGAAGAAAGGGAATCGCCTCTCGTCCAGGTGCCTTCTTGAGCTTTGCTTGAACGTCTTGATGAAGCAATGCCCTCCTTGCTGCGGCTGTCATCTCCATTGCCCTGCTGAATTGGCCTTCCAGATTCAAGGCCTGCCCCAGGGTTGTCCGATCTTGGACATCATCATCCAGCAGGTCCGGAAAGTTCGCTGGCCTTCCGAACACCAGCACATTTGCCGAAAACCCGCGTCTGGAGACAGTCGCATTCTTGGCTTGGACCGCTGCAGCGAGGCTCTGTTTCATCGTTGTGTAGTCCTCCGCCTTGTACTCCGCAATGAGTGCATGCCATGCAGCGCCCAGTAAGGCGCCCTGCCTCTCCGCAAAGGAGTTCTGCCAGGGGGCATAGGCACCGACCACCTTTGAATGGATCACGCGTTTTCCAGCTCAAAGAGGAATTCCTTCTCAAACTCTCCTCCGCTGAGTCACAAACTTGTTTGCCACGTGAACGGGGCGCCTTGTCCGCTGATCTATCATGCTCAATGCCACGTAGAGCTTCGACTTGCAGTCTTTGGCGTACTTCAAATCCAGGCATTGAAGGTTACCGGGCGCATGCTTGGGGCTTGCTGTATCGGCTTCCTGGGTGCTTGTGAAGCCTCACACACCGGGCATTGAAGCTCCCGACATTCTTTCAGAAGCTGTCCATCCGCTCCAGCCGTAGCATTCTCTCCAAGGTCTCGGGGCTCGGATGTCCAAGCCTCCTGCTTCTGCTGTCGCTGGGCCTCCTCAGAGACTTCCTCCTCTCTGGAGATCTCCATAAGCTCTTCCTGCAGCATCCTCTGTTCCAGATCTTCCTCTGGCACCACCTCTTCGTTCTCAAGCTCTTCGAAGCGCTCTTCTGGCACATGAGCGCCTTCCACAAATATCTCTGGCCTGCGCGTTCCTCTTAGGTACTCTTCTGCACCAATCACCACCTCATGAGCAAAGTCTGGCGTGTGTCCCCCTGCGAACTCTGACAGTGACCTCCATTTTCCTTGCCACTTGAAATTGCCGAAGATGTGCGTGTGCTTGTGGCTTCCTTTACACCTCCGGCTACAGCGTCTGATCACTTCTGGCGTTCCCACCAGCCTGGTTGGCTTCTTCATAAAGCGGGCGCCTTCTCCAGCAGGTTTCCGCAGGCCAAATTGGCACATGTCCGTCACCGTCTCCGCCATGCACTTGAAACCTTCTACAATGGCGGGCTCTTGTCGAGCCTGGGGTTTTCTCCTAGAACGGCTCCTCCTCTGGCTCTCTGCCTTCTCACAGCCTCACCAACAAACTCCAGCATAGGGCGATGCTCCTTTCTCTTCTGCGCCAATCGTCTCACCGCCTCCGGGGTTCTGCAGTTCAAATTCTGCAACGAGCTCCAGGGGCTGCAAGGCCATGCCAGCACCAACAAATCCGGAGCCTGGGAGTCGATGTAGTGTGCCTCCTCCCTTGTCTGCGGATCACGAAGATCCCATCCCGGCAAGGTCACCGGCTCGCACATGTGCCAGCCTCTTTCCAAGGCCATCAGGCTAATGCAGCAAGTCCAAGTGAACACCTCCAGGACCTTCCACCTTTTCCTCAAAGGAAGTGAGCTGGGCCGCAAGCATGGGTTTTGGGGCTGTTGGGGCTGCTGTAGAAGAGCACCTGTCTTCTTCTTCCCCCTCACAGTCCTCTGCTGGCTCTGACTCCTCGATGTCGCAGATGGGGAACTCGCCTAATTCAGCCTCAAGGTCTGCCCTCCGAAGTCTCCTCAGTCTCTTCTTCTGAAGTGGCCTCCGACTTGTCCTGCTGCACGAAAGCGAACGTGTGCGGCATCCTCACCAGCACGTCTTTCAATCTCTTCACCTCCGGCTGCTCCCAGTAATCACCCCCGATCTTTGCGAAGTCCAGCAGGTCCACAGCAGGATGCCTGGTGTTTGTCAGCCTCATCTCTCTGGTGACTCCGAAGAGCGTCATCTGGCGAGTGCTGGGTCCGCAGTTGCTTGCGTTTCCATCAACACGCGACATCCTTACTGCCGTGTTCACCCCGAA